CATTAATTTTCTTCTTCAAAAAAAACCCTCAAGCATTCTTTTCCCAAGTTTAAGAAGTGCCTAAGTTTTTCATTTTCCAAGAAATCTATATTCACGTCTTATGCAAGTTTCCAAGAAATCTATATTCATGTCTTGTGCAAGTTTACAAGTAGAGTTTTCTGTTTGCAGCCTCGCCGGTGGACATTCTGCATATGCGTTGATATCTCATTAGTATTTCTCACGACTTTGGTGCAGTGGGGAGTATTGATCTACAAATTTAGTCATTTTCAGACTTCAGCCGAAGTTATTTGGTCAAGACACGTACTACTGATAATATAGAATGAGCTTTCCTTCAAGAACAAATTGCCTTTTTTTTTTTTTTTTTGCAGCCTGCAGGATTTTACGGTTATTCCAATTGCAAAAATATCGGTTGTGTTTGGATTGCATTTTCTATGATTTTTCATGGAAAAAATACTGTAGCGATTTGATGTATGTGAGGGAAAAAGATAATAGGGAAATATGATCACGAAAAACAACGTAATTTTCCGACGAAAAACTGCAATCCAAACAAGGCCTGAGTATTCCCAATTCTACAACTTATCCGGACTAACGTCCATTAAAAATTTGAAACCCATAATTTGAAACCCGGAATAACTTGTCTTGCAAAAAGTAATGAACAGGAATTCCTAAATTAAGAATAAAAAAAAAAAAGAAAGATAAAACCATGAAATGCGAGGAAATAAGTTATTTCTATAATAGCAAGAAAAGAGCGAGGAAATAAGTTATTTCCATAATTGGGCCGCTCAAAGACAAAACCATGAAATGCACGTATTGCAGTTCGTCGCATTAGAAACTGGTACATGTGGAAATACCGAAGGCCCAAATAGAGTCTCACTAATCCTGTTTATTTTTCTGCCTTCAGCTTATTTTTATGTCACATAATTGGATCTATAGTCTCTAGCAATTCATAAAATAAATTTTTTCATTCATCACATTTTACAAAATATATTTCATTCCTCACATTTCACATAATATATTTTTTTATCCCTTATTGATCATATGTACGAATAACTCTTTTTTTTTTAACTCGTGTATATATCTATTTAATTTTACCTAAACTATACGAATATACGATGTATCTTTATTTGATTTTACCCGAACAAGCTAATTATAGTTGTAGGTAAAATCAAATAGAGGTATATTACATGCTATTCGTACGGTTCAAATGAAATCAAATAGGTATATACATGAGTTTTAAAAAAAGTTATTCATGCACATGATCAATGAGAGATGAAAAAATTTATTTTATAAACTGTGAGGGATGGAAGAATTTATTTTGTCAAATATGTTGAACGAAAAAATTCATTTTATGAAATGTAAGGGACGAAAAAACTGGTACGTGTGTAATTATTGAAGGTCCAGATAGAGTGTCGCTAATACTGTTTATTTTTCTACCTTATAGCTTATTTTTTGTCTCACTAATTGATCTCATTAATAGCGTAGTGCCTGTATAAGACTTGCTTTTTGATTGATTATTTTAACTGATTATAGATTCTAATGAGTTTTTCCGACGTTTTTTTGTTACTTTTATATTCTGATTATAGATTTTTTAATGACCAAAAAAGCGTAAAAATTTATAATCACTTAGAGTAGTTTGTACTGACTCTGATTCTCCATAATCAGTTATTTTGTAAAATTTGAAGCAACTGTGAACAATGCCATAATGATTTCTTTAAAATTTTGTGATGAATCATGACCCGTAAATGAACTTCCCAACTAAATTATTGAGATCTTAATACCGTTTATCTTTCCTCAACCACTTTTCCTTTATTTCCCTTCCTCATATCAACTAGTAACCAAGAAATATACGCTTGGGATTCCCCTAACCGAACGTATTACAAATGCAGTCGTTATCACGTTCATAACTCGGTTCATGTGCCATATGACTTCAGCGTTCAGAAGGAAGCATACAGTATCTTGCAGGAATTTTCAGCCCACAAACACCTTGGGTACGACGATGACAGTGATGGGTCCTCCTGCGGACGGTTTCGAAGAATACGTATATCAGCAAAATCTGTAGATCAAATCCTGCAGGCGCCACCGCTAGCAATTAAGCAGTTGAGCCAGCTCTTGAATTGCTTCTTGCAATAGACGTTTCGTAGCTCTCAAGGCAATAGGCCAACATGAGCCCCCTTCGATTGCCCTTCCACTCATGGCAATGGAAAAGGTTATTTTCTTCAATAAATTTGCACAAATAGCAAACATTTAATTAAACATGATAAAATAACGATAAAATAAGTTTTACAGTAATATGTCTTTCATTCAGATGAATTGTTGTAATCTCATAGACCTATGCATGATGAAAATAGTTTGAAGAACCGTTAAAATTAGAGAAAAACAATCAAAAAACCTAGAGAATCAATAGTAAGCGAAATCAAAAGTAACAAATGAATTCAACCAAGAGCCCATGAAAACAAAAATAGAGTTAGTGAAATGCCTTCAACTATCAAAATAATTTTGCATAACAGTTTGACACAACAGCGAGATAAAATTGCAAAATCCCTTTACAACAAGCTACGATGTGGAACTTTTCAGATAGAAAGAAGGGAGAAAAAAAAAATAAGAAAGCAATATGTGAAACCATTAGCTCATTTATTTACAGTTTGGTCGCATGTCGTAGTCACAAAATCAATCAGTTTTCTTCACATAAATTGCCAAATCTGTGGCTACTCTATCTTTTAGTTTTAGTCAGTGACTATATATATTTCTCTCCATTTTCTTGATTCCGGAACAGTACTGGCCGCTTGGACAGTTGTACTTTCAGGGCATCAGACTCGCGTCTTATCATCTTTGATTGTTCACATCACATGTGCCTTGGCAGCTTGGCTTGCATACACGGCTGCTGGACCATTGCAACATCACATACACTCAAAATTGCTAATAATTTATCGATTGAATCTATTGCTTTAGAAAGTTCTTTGAAGAGTTTCTAATCCATGGACGATTAAAAAAAAATAAAGTTCATTTATGGAGTAAAAGTTCTTTAACCCAAACCTGAAGTACCATTTTATTTCAGCAATTGACTAATCCATAGTAATTTAGGACTTGGATCGGTAAAATAAAAGTTATAAATAGGTTCCTCTTCATCTCTATGCATATGTCTCCTTGCAAAATAGACAAACAAATGCAAGAATAACAACAACGTGTAGTTAATCGCTTCGGTTGTGTTTGAATAGCATTTTCCATGGATTTTTCGTTAGAAAATTACTGTAGCGATTTGATGTATGTGAGGTAAAAAGGTGATAAGGAAATGTGTTCACGAAAAACAAGGCCATTTATCTGCGGAGTTAGAAGCGAATATGAACAGTGAATAAAGCACACATGGTGTAGATGTTCAAATTCCAATTTTTCCTCCTCCTTGATTAAGCAACCATGGCCGCCTTCTTTCGACATGAATTCTAGTGGTAAGCCTATTTTGTCAAGTTTATATGTTACTATGAGATAAGGAAAATTGAGGTAAATTGAGGTAAAGTACTAAAAAAATGCTTACGTGGCAAGACTTGGGAAAAAAATGAGGCGTGAGTACATTTGCTGGATTATTTAACCTGTCCAAACATCCTAAGGCGCATTATCAGTAATTTATTCAGATTAGAGCAATCCAAACGCACTCATTATATTATTTACATTCCCATTTTTGTTAATCACATTTTGACTATCATTTTAATCATATAATTTTTATTCGTTAGACTAGATAATAAAACTTAATCACACGCTCGTTATCATTTTAATCGTATAATTTTTATTCATAAGATTATATAATAAACAAATGGTGGGAGTGCAAATAACAAAAAAAAAAAAAAAAGAAGCGTACATATGTTTTGGACAAGAAAATTGCGTTGTTTTCTTTCATGTTGCTATCAAAACAGCCAGCTATTCATAACGGTGACAATTCCTACCACAATTACACAATATCTCATCCAAATCAAATTTTCCTCGCAATTTTAGTTGCAAAAGCCAGTTTTCACTTGATAAAGAAGACATGGTACTATCTTCTCCGAATCAAAATTTTCTTCCAACAGTCAATTTTCACTCCGTAGAGAACCAACGACTTTTCGAAGTTCATCCATATAAATAAAAATAAAATAAATACGTGCTAGTTTGTGAAAGGTTGGCTAAAACATTCAAGTAGACTCCTTGGTACTACGTAGGAAGACAAGAAACAAGAAACAAGAAATCATGGACAACTCTTGCCCCTCTTCCTTCCTCCCACGTAGTACTACTAACTGCTAATTCACCCCACTCCATTACGAACAGAAGATTTTACTATCATCTTACAAAACCCCAAAACCTGGAGCCGGTGGTCCGCTAACTGCTGCTGCTGCTGCTAGTTTTGTCCACTTCTCTCTGCACATATACACAAGATTCAAGTAAGATCAAGACATATAGCTAATAGCCTCCATGCCCCCACCCCTGGTTTGTAGGCCCCATGCATGCATCCGCCAAACCCTTCATCTTCCCTCTCCTCCTTTCTAGCTCACATCAAAATCAAATTAAGTACTCCCAAGATTTTTTTTATTTTTGTCCTACTACCCTCTCATACTAAAAACTCAAGAAAGAATCTTTCACTGAAATTCATAAACCCACCCCCCCCCCCCTTATCCCATCCTCTCCATCCTTATCTTTCACTTGTCACTCTTTTCCGAAAAATCCCATCTTCCATTTCACCAGGTACTTCACAAAAACCATAAGAAAAACAAGGAGGACTGTTTTTTTTTCGTTTATCACAACATGAAGAATACTAGTCCAGATATTACTCGGAACGGAAGAAGACTACTGCAGCAGCAAGTTCCTGCAGTAGCATCAGGAGGTTTACATGGCTCTGATTTATCACCAGACCCCATTTTCGAACCCATAAACGCCTCTCCTTCAGATGCAACAAGTGTTAAAAGAAATCCCAGGCACCCCACTACACCGTTCGACTCATCAATGGCCTTAACAATCTTAGTCCTGCGCTCTTCTTCATGGGCTTCTTCTCAATCTACATCCGGCGTTTTGCTGAAGAAGACTCCACCGACCTCAGCCGCCGCCGGAGACACCCTCCGCGGTTGCGTGATGGCAATAATCAGAAGAACGGTGGTGTGGATCCTGCCACCATCAAGTCATTGCCACTTGTTTCTTACCGTGGGGGCGCCAAGCAGCTGATCACGGACTGTCCAATCTGCTTGAGTGAATTCGAGGAGACGGAAATTGTTAAATTAATCCCGCATTGTGCACACGTGTTCCACCCGGAGTGCATCGACAGGTGGCTGGGCTCACACGTGTCATGTCCACTGTGCAGGTCGACTCAGTTACTTGAGGTGGTCGATGATCATCAGGAGGTTCGATTGGCCGTGGAGGAGGAAGAGCATGGTAATGGAGGGAGTGAGCTGGGTGGAAGATCGACGGTTGATGATTGTGACACGTGTAGTAATCCTGGAATGAGAAGGGTCTGTAGTTGCACGAGCGTGGGCGATCGACTTGTTTTGCACAGAAGCATGAGTTTTTGATGATGATGATGATGACGATGATGTAAAAGGTCGATACTATAGATAGACACATTGGAAAGGAGGAAATAGAGAAAAAGGAGGGGTTTTCTTTCCCTTTTCCTTTTTCCTTTTTTTTTTTTTTTTTGTTGGCGTGGAGAGGAGGGGGGTGGGGTGGGGTTGGGGGAATAAAATAAAATAGGCTATTCTTTTGTAAATTTCTTGTATACCACTCAAAAATGACTTCATTAATTGCGTATCAAAGGGTTCTTTTTTTTTTTTTTTTTTTGAGTGTTCGTATCAAAGGGTTCTTAGTTATTTTATTTTTGTTATAGTAGTGTTGTGCGGTGAATTCTGGATACAGCCTCCAATTCTACAGAAATCTGATTTGATTGATTGCCTAATGGTGTGCTATGGCAGCTGCTGGACTCAATTATTCCTTCCAGTCTCAGTAGCATTTAATTTTAAGGGTAATTTTTTGTTGAACAACACCAATCGTCCCTAGTTTCATTCATACTAATCTACTACTAGTATGTTTATTTTTAACATGAACAGGCGTGGCATTTATACTTTTTTATCTTGTCTTGTGAACTTTAAAGTGTGATTAAGTTCGATTTTTTTTTTTTTTTTTACCCATACTTTGGTTTTACAAGATGACCGAGATTGGATTTGCTAGTCGAGTCAAGTGGGAATGGACCTTTTCCTTCTGAGCAACACACGTAAAGAGTAAAGTCGCAGATCCAAACGACGGCCGTGGCCACTACTAAACCATTTAAGGTTTGATAGATGGGAGGCAAGGTTTGTGGGGTGAAAGGCAAGCGTTCAAATCTTGCCTCCCACCGATTGTCACATTAAGTGACTTCTTAGAGATTTAGTCTTTACAGACTCACCTGATCCAGTTGAATCCTCCTTAGATTAGAATAATGCAGAATATTATTAAAAAAAAAAAAAAAAAACCCTTTACAGTTGGTTGGGAAGAAAATGTAGTGAAAGCTAAAGTTGTTCAGCATAAAAGAAGATCAGCTCTTAACCAATTGTTCCTCAAATTCAGGTGCTCATTTTCAACCACTTGAAACAGACCGTACAACAAGACAATTCTATTCACCAAACAACGGAAAGGAAAAGGCATGAATTGGGGTAACCATTACACTCAGGCATGTTCAAGACGCAACTAACAAGATAATTGAGGAAATGAAAAGGTATCCACAGCCCACAAGATTCTGTTATTAGATGCAAACGTCATACCAATCCTCTTGATAATTGTCCAATACACAACTGTGTTCTAAGTTATCTGAATGAGAAGCCTAATCTTGGTTAAAAAGAAAAGCTAGTTTTTCCGGTTATGGAGCTCTACTATTCTGGTGGTTATCGACAACCAGAATGTAAAATATTCTGTACTCAAGGTTCCTGAAAACAGAACAAAATGATGGCCATCTTCATTCAAACAAATAAATAATTCAATTACACAGAGCAAACCAGAGTTTTGGTCTCTGGGGTGTTAGAATACTGGTACAATGTAAACCATTCAGCAATAGTCATCAGAAAACAGTCTCCATGAATCTACAGCTGCATGAGGGTGGAGGATCCAGGTTTCTGCTTTTACTGGTATTACCAAGACTAATAAAACTGCTGCTGAATGGTGTACGATCTGGGGTTCTCAATGAGATCATTAACATGGAAGTCAAGTCAGGCTTCTTTTCAGCAACTACTTTGGGACAGGCCACCTATTTCAAGCATCAAAATAACTTAATACTGATAAAGCCATCACAAAAACTCAATGACTTTCCTCCCTAGAAACTAGTTGGCTGGTGTATGAACTGGATCGAAGTCCACCTTTGGGTAACATCTACCTGAAATAATGACAAACAAGTTGTTCTTGCTTATTTTTAGTTTGTATAATGACAGGGTACAAAATACATCTTCAGTCATCTGCTAAACAAACTAAAAGAAGGAAAAAGTTATAGACTTGCTATATATGGGATTGATGATTTACCTGGTGAGACTACAAGAAGAAGAAAATTGAAAAGTCTACAGCTTGTTGCATTATGTCCTATTTCAATTTGCATTCTATTTATTCTTGAGATTTTTTTTTTCTTCGGTTTCCATTTATTTGGCACTCCTTCCATTACTGGACAGAATATGCTCGGACCATCTCAATCACTGGTGCCTGGCACATTGGACACTTCTCTTTTCCCTGGACCAATTTCTCTGCACATCTTGAACATGTGCACATGTGTCCGCACCTATATGGATGGATTCAGTAAGCAAAGAAGTGTCAGGATGCAAAAGGAAAAATACAGTTCCTATCTTTGTCAGAAGATCATCCTAGATGAAATTATACAAATACTAATTTGGAGGTTAATTTGAATAGATGCTGCAATAACACCCAGAGATCATGGTGGGTCACCTGTACAGCAAGGAATCAATGTTTTGTTCACAACACATGCAGCAAATTCCTTTCCTCACAAAATCCCATTTGGAATCATCCTTATGTTGTGCATCCTTGCAAGTATCTACTTCCACGTAATGAAATCAGCAACGTTGAACCACATTTGTCATATAAAGAGAAGGTAAAGGAATAAACTAAAAACTCAGGACACTTGATAGCAAGAGACACCACACGCACTCTGATGTTACCATTAATGATCTCTAACCTAAATCCTTTACCTGCTGAAACAGCTGACCTATTCAAAGCTGCAGAAACTTCTTGCCGAACTGAGCGTTGCAGTTCAAGTTGCATATCCATGCATGCCTCTAGCATCCTCTGCATATTGTCCATGCGCTGTTGAAGCCTAACCATGTCAAGCCTCAATTCATTAATGATCTCCCACTCCTGCTGTACACGGGCAAAAATAGGTTCAAGTTAGACCAAGCTGATTCCAGGGCAAGTTAAATCTTCAGTGTTAGCACCCCATAAATGTCGGCATTCAGTACATCTTTTCCATATCTTAAGAACTAACTTTGTGATATAAAAAATGTTATTAAGGCTAGATGTGCACACATGCAAGTGAATGGTAATAAACTGGAAAAATGTACAAGATCAGCCAAAAGCATTCTGTACATGAGTACTGGCTGATATGACAACTGCAACGGATGAAAAAAATGACATCAAGTGCATACAATTCACATAATAGATCAATATGACATCCACAAGAGTTCAGTTACTAAACAAATGGACCTTGTAACTCTAAGTTGACAAGTTTAAGAACCAAGCAGAGGTATGCGTGCGCTCACAATTCCTAACTGATGATGAGGGCTGTTGTGAGACCAATTTAGTCTATGCAAATCCTGATCCCAGACTGGCTGAGAAGCTGTGTCCGAAGCTGAGATTCTATCAACACCACCTGATAATACACCATCCTGTACCTGATCATCATTCTGCTGTTCCTGATCTTGCTCAATGAAGGCAGGTGAAGATGATGCTCCATCTGCCTCCCAGTCCATAGAAGCATTGCCTTGACGTTCCACGTATGACTGTATCAGCTGGTCAAGGCTTGCTCTGAAACCGCTCCGAAGAAGACTAGACACACGTCTCCTGAATCACAAGTAAACAGATAAATACGAAAGAACCCTTTGAGAATCCATCACTTTGAAGAATTTTCCTAAATGTCAATGAGACTCTCACCTGCTAAGAAGTTCTCTTAGCTCCATACTGTAAACATTATCATCCTCTGGAAAATAAAATGCATCAACCCTGCCACTAGAACCACCGACTCCCTGCCCTGAAGGCACATCTAACCAACTATCTATAGCCTCTTGTAAACCATCATCATGCCAATCTTCATTTGGTTCTGAGTATTATGGTGATCTCTAAAATCATTATCTGGTCTTTCCTGATCCCACTGATGGGCAATGTTTTCTTCCCACGTTTCAGTAAGCCCTTCTTCATTACCATGTGCCCATTCATCGGCTTCAGTACTGGTTGGTTGTTGCCATTCAATTTGTTCATGATCCAAAAACAATTCCTGCTCCGCTTCAACTTGAGCTGAAGTTTCTTGCCAATTGGAATCTTCAGCTGCATTGGGCTCCCTATCTTCCACTTGACCAGTTATCTCGCGTACATCACTTGCCCCACCGTTTGGTGCATTTTGTTCTTGAACAATTTCATCAGTATCTACCAAATAATCATGCACACTGGTTTCAATCTCCGAAGTTTCACATAGCAATGGATTAGCTTGGACATCAGTCCTCAAGTTCCCAGAAACATCATTCTCCCCGCCTTGTTCCCTAGGCATGTAGTCAACATTGTTTAACAACTCTTGTCCTTCATCACCATGTCCTTCAGCTTCTTCGATAACAGAATGCTGCTGATTTATGTAACCAATAGAGGGAAAATCATTCCTCTCACTTTCCTCATCAGACGGCTCAAAGAGATCATAGATGTCCTCTAGCACCTCTTGCTCCTCATCGGATTCTAATTGACCATTTCTAGTATGGACCTCACTAGAAGAAGCATCTTCAGACTGATGATTGTTTGATGAACCACGAACAGAGTTGTCCAATCTGGACAGAAACCCTTCTCTGTTTCACAGACATGAGGTTAAGGTCTTTATAACTTATAACTGAAATTGGCTAAACTTCCTTGGAAGTAATTACAAGAAATATCTAGGCTACAAAGAAAACTCAGTACAACTTTCCATAACCATGCTAGATTTTTTCCACTTAAATATAGGACTTGACAAGTCAAATAGCAGCATATTCCAAAGTTTGTGACCAAAAAGAATAAAGGAAAAAAAAAAAGAAATAACGCTAGATACTGCTCAACAACTAAATAGTGGTAGAAAAGTAAGTCAGGGGCTTATGGAATTTGGAATTGGACTAGATTTTTGTGTCAAATTTCTAAATTTATCTTAGGTTGATGAATAGTCTTCATTTCAGCTGAACGCTCAATGTCTCCAATGGCAATATCTTTATGGTGGGTAACGTAACATGAACCACACTTTGGGGTTCTTCATGAACAACATGTGTGTAGGAGAATAAAATTTGACAGTGTCTCTTGTTGCTGGTTAACTTTGGTGTTGAAA